AGTGCAGAGTGGAGAGACAAAGCAAGCAAGTTCTGCCAACATATCTATTTACAGTCTGGAGGCAGATCACATCCTAAGAAACTCCCCTTTCAACTGGTTGATTGATCACAGTACATTAGATTACATTATGAAAGGTAATTACATATATTTCATTAGATTACATTATGGAACAGCAGTTAATCCAATGTTTGGCCAAACCAGTCGGAACCATAGCCTAGCTAAGTTGACACATAACATTAACCATCACAACAGTAGAGTGGCAGAGGAAAGATTTATCATCTTCCTGTGTAAGTAACCGGTGAATTTTCAGTTGCATTAAGGAAACTATGGTTCAAAGGACTTCTGTGCATGAACTTTCCAGGACTAATTTTGGCTGCTTTATGTGCACACACTTTCAATTAGTTTATAAGAATGACTGGAACAACCTGTGGGCTCAGGACCATAGTCACAGGGGACATCAAGCTCAATTGGCATAACATACTACACAAAACATTGTCCCACCTCCTACTTTGGCGAGTAATGACTAGGCTCTTAAAAGCTTGCAAGCAGTCATCTAGATGCAACAATGAGTCTCTCCTCATCCAGAGCAAAGAAGAATGAAGAAAACCAAAGATTCATGGAAACAATTAGTCCTAGCGACTGGTACACCATGCAATCCGTAGCCTATATGACTATGAGACCAGAAAAACTAGATAGTGCCCGGCTACCACTGTCAACCACTTGGAGGGAGATCTATGTAGGAGATCCTGGATAGAAGAGAACAATGTGGAACAAAACTAAAAACCATTTGGAGAAAAAAAAAGACCAGGTTTGCTGGTCTGACAGAACCTGGTGGAACCACTGAGACTATCACCCCTAGCTGCCCTTCAGGTCTGGAATTGAACCCACACCAATGGCTTCCAGCCAAACAAAAGGCAGGCATATGAGTTGAACATCTACCTGAGGTGGATGCACTCCTTGGAGAGAACAATCATGGGAGAAAGAAGGGCTGCTGATATACAAGGAGACAGCTCAGGGGGCAGGAGTACATGGAGGGATGGACATAGGGAAGAGGTACCTATTGGGAGGAAGTGGGAGGGGAGCTTTTGCATTGTGGTAAATTATAGTCAATGTCATGAGACAAAATGTATGTGAACTGATGTATGGAAAGTGAATTTGCTCTGTAAATTTTCAGCCAAATCACAATTTAAATAAATAAATAAATAAGTTTTTTTTTTTTTTTTTTAAAAAAAAAAAGGAATGACTGGAACAGAATTGGTGCAAGACTTTTCTTGATAAATCTGTGGTTCTCCACTAGGGTGATTTTGCCTGCCCCCTCAAGGGACATTTGGCAATGTTTGGGGATATTTTTAGTGGCCACAACTCAGGGAGGGATGCTACTGGCATCTAGTGAGTAGCGGCCAGTGATGTTGCTAAGTACCCTACAATGTACAGGACAGCCCCTCACAACAAAGAACCACCTGGTCCCTCCCAAACATCAACAGTGCCGCTGTTGAGAAAGTGCTCTAAATGCTTGGTGAAAATGACATTTAGTTTTATCTGTGCCTAGTACTCACCATGGCATTCCTCCTAGACTTTACCTTTACTGTTCATCAGCTGACCTTTCTGAAAATCATCCACAAAAGCAGATTAAGACTAACAATGGCCTTTACTGAGTTACTTCCTAGATGCCAGGTCCTAGGATAAGGACTTTACCTACATTATATCACTGTTGTTTCCATTTTCAGAAAAGAACACTGAGGTTCAGTATGTTGTTGTTGTTATGTGTCATCAAGTTGGGCCCCGACTCATAGCGACCCCTCTTTGGGTTGCCGAGGCAGTGTCACTACGGAAGTAGATTGCCCAATCTTCCTTCCGAGGAGTGGCTGGTGGGTTTGAACCGCTAGCCTTCTGGTTAGCAGTCAAGTGCCTTAGGCACTATGCTACCAGTATGTTGTACATGTATATAAATATTTTAACAACAAAGGTGGGAATCAACCCAGTTATCTAACTCCAAAGCTTTTGTTCAATTCACTAAGCAACTGCTTTGTATTCAAAATTCCATTTTTCATTATGAGAATTTTTCATCTTTGACAAAAACTATTAAATAGTTTTTAAATAAATATAACTTTGTAATTATGGCCATCCATCACTTGGAGTAAACTTGATACATGGATTTTAAAAATGTACTGAATTAGTCAAAAGGCAGAAAATAAATTTACTTCTCATATTTTAGCCTCAAAGTTAAGAAACATTCTTTATTTTTGGAATATCCAGATCAACACATATTATGCTTTAAATAAGAGATGTAGGTAAGATGGTAAGGAAGCTGGCTCTATCACTCACTTGAAAACCAAAAACCAAACTCCATTGGCATTGAGTCTCACTCAAAGTGACCCTCATTGGGTTTCCAAGGCTGTAAATCTTTATGGAAGTAGAATGCCTCATCTTTTTCCTACAGAGCAGGTGGCAGTTTTGAACTGTGGACCTTCTGGTTAGTACCCAAATGCCTTACCCACTTTACCACAGAGTTCCTTGTCACTTACTTGAGGCACTCATAGAAAAAAAGGAAAAAAAAAAAAAAAAGCAACATTCTTAACATTTACAACATTATTCGTTTTCTATTGCTTTGCAACAAATCAATACAAATTTAGCAGCTTGAAACAGCACTCACTGATTAGCTCACAGTTCTGTAAGTCAGAAGTCTGGGCATTGGGTTCTCTGCTTAGGGTCTCCCAAGGCTGAAATCATGGTGTCAGTCAGACTGAGTTTTCATCTAGAGGCTCCAAGGAAAAATCTGCTTTCAAGGTCATTTAGGTGGTTGGCAGAATCCAGTTCCTTGCAGTTATAGGACTGAAGCCTCTGTTTCTTTGCTGGACATTGGCTGGGGATTGTGCTCAGTATCTAGAGGCTGCTCTCTGGTCCTTGACACATGGCCCCCTCCATCTCTAAAGCCAGCAGTGGAGAACCTCCCTCCCATCAAATCCCCCTCATGCTCTGAATCTCTCTCCAGAAGGAGACTTTTTAGGGACTCACCTGATTAGGTCAGGCCCACTGAGGACAATCTCCCTATGTTAAGTTTATAACTCTTCGACAAGAAAAACTGCAAAAAAAATTTGCTCCACAAATGTTCACTGAACTGAATTGTTTTAAAAAAATATGAGAAGTTTTGACATTAGGCAACTGTTTAACAAAACAGTTGTCACAGAGTTCATTCCAATTTATGGTAACCCCATGTGTGTCAGAGTGGAAATGTGCTCTGTAGAGTTTTCAGTAGTGATTTTTTGGAAGTAGATCTCTCCACTTTTTTTTTGCAAGGAACCTTTGGGTGGATTCCAACCTCTAGCCTTTTGGTTAGCAGTTGAATGTGTTGACTGCTTGCACCACCCAGGGCCTCCCAGGAAGTTGTTACACAGAGCACAAACTTCTATTTATGAATAACCCCCAGCAGGAGAAAAGATCAGTTGAGAAGCATTGTCCAGGATGCCTTTGGGTTAATCACTATCCTAATCTCTTCTTTCACCAAAGATTAAGTACAGTTTCTATTTCCACTATGGGAATGCCGCTTTACTAAAGTAAGTCAAAGGAAAAATAATTCCCAGAAATTTGCAAACGATTTTCCGGAATACATCTATTTCATTGTGTAAAGGGTATGTGCAATGGATTTTATCTGTCATGAGCTAATCTCCCAGCTCTTTGAGGAGGGTGGGGTCACATATTACTCATATTTATATTCCCAGGGCTAGAACCATGCCTGGTTCAGAGGACATGTTTTAAAAATAAAAGCTGATTGACTGTTTGTACAACGAATGCTATTTAACGTGTCTCTGCTGGTAGTCATTAAGTCCTGCGGGCAAAGAGTCTAACGCATTGTCTACAATTGAATAATGCCTGTCCGCAACAGGCAGGCAGCAAGCATTCAACAGGTGCAATCGTTGGGCCATGCACTCGTTTTAAAATGTACTTTCAGCTCTTCCAAACTAGCAATTGATCATTTTAGGCTATGTGACATGAATTGAGGCTGAATGTTAAAGCTAGTTTTATGAGGCTTAAAAAGAAAGAAAGAAAGAAAGAAACGGCTTTGTTATTGGAAAGAAATTACATCTCCATCTTCCATTCCAAACGGACATAACTATCGGTGTCTAGTTTTCTGGTAAAGAAAATACCAGAAAACTGGTAGTTCCTTAACATCAATCTGAGAACAGAGCTTTGATTTCTGGAAAAAGAAAAGCTCAGTTTTCCTTAGATTTCCTCATCTCCTCCATTGCTAACCTCAGACAAAGTACAAGTGATCTACAATTCTGTAGGCGCCCACTGCATTTAAATCACATTCAGGATAAACGTTTAGCCTACTTCTAAGTTTAGATAAACGCTATTACCAAACCAGGCGCTCTCGCCAATTCGCCGCAACCTAGGAGGCTAGGTGGGGCACCGCCAAAATGTGGCTCGCGCCGTGACGTCACCGGGCTCACAAGCCGCAGCATTTGTCCAGGGCTCCGGCGATTGGCTGGGGGATATGACGTCACGGGCCGGGGCGGCTCTGCGCTCGCAAGGACCCCGGGAACATTCCGGCGGGTTGGAAAGAAAGGGGGGCGGGGGCGGGGAGAGAAGAGAAAAGCCGGAGGAAGTGGTGGCAGACGCCGCCCGCCGCGCCCCGCGCCCGCTGCCAGCTGGTGCCGGTCCTGGTCGCGCCAGCCTCCAGGGCGGCCCAAGGGGGCGGGTGGGGAGGCGGGGCGGAGGAGGAGCCGCGACCACGGCGCCGCACCGTCCCGGTCGTCGCCTGCCGCCCAGCTGCACCCAGCATGTAAACAGTCCCCGGCGGGAGGTGCCCAGGGACCGGGAGGGAGCGGTGCTGCCCGGCCCGAGGCCGCGCCCGGCCCGCCGCCTGCCCGGAGAGGCCGCGCCGCCCGCCCGCGCCCGGGAGGAGGGCGCCGGAGCAGGAAGGGAGGGAGAGGGGCGGAGGAAAGGAGGCAGGCAGACAGCGAGCGCGGAGCTGAGGGAGCGCGGGCGCGGCGGCGAGGATGGATTTCCAGCAGCTGGCTGACGTTGCGGATAAATGGTGCTCCAACACGCCCTTCGATCTCATCGCCACCGAGGAGACCGAGCGCAGGATGGATTTCTACGCCGACCCCGGCGTTTCCTTTTACGTGCTGTGTCCGGACAACGGCTGCGGGGACAATTTTGTGAGTACCGGGGCGGGGGGAGGGACCGCTGAAGCCAGCGGAAGTGGGGAAGCTCTGGAGCGCCACGGCCCCTGCCCTGCGTTCGAGCTCCCGCGCGGTGGGGGGGGTCGTGAGGCGCCAAGTTGGGGGGGGGGCGTAACCGGCTTGACGCCGCGTATTTGCTTCTTGCTCCGCCAGAAAGGCCCTGGGTGAGGCTGGGTGGGCAGCGGGCAGGGGCAGGGCGTGGGGAGGCTCGCGGGGCGCCCTTCGGCGCTGGGGAGCCGGACTGCGGTGCAAGGTGTAGCATCATGTGGAGTGCATCCCCCTTGGCCCGTGCGGACCCTCTTCCTATAGCGCAACCTCACAGCCAGTGCGTGGCGCTTGGCTTGTAGTATCCTGGGGATATCCCCGAGTCGCATTCGCCTGGGCTGGGGCGCACGGCCCTTCCCGGAGCATCCCTAGTCCAGAGCTTCCAGCACCCAGCGTCCCGTCCGGGACAGAGAATCCCATTCCTCTCTTAACGCGCAGACACTACTCCCCGAATTTCCCCGCCTGGAAAAAACGCCCAACCCCACCCCGTTTTATTGCCTGCGCTGCATGTTTGGACACAAAGCCTCTGTCCACACTAGCGATGCTCGATCTCCTGGACCTTCTTTGCAGTATTACACCCCGGATCTTAAAACCGCACGCGCGCGTGCGCACACATCTCAAAACACACACACACACACACACACATACACACGCACGCACGCCTACCTCTCCGACCCCCTTGGTGGTTCCAGTGTTCTCTCCGAGCTACTAGCGAGGTGTGTGTGACCCTCGTGGATTCTTTTGGGTCAAGGCAGCGGCCGCCGCCCTGCCAAAACCCTTTGGTTTTTCCAGATGAGGAGGAATTCCTTCACCACGCACCTACCCAGGGCTCAGAGGAACCCAGACTTTGAACTGTGGCGTCCACACCTTCAACTTTGCTTTCTGCATCCACTTGGGATCTTGGCACTGGCAGTTTAGGAAGAAGATGCGGAAGGCAAGGGAGTTGGAGTGGGAGATGCGGAGACAGAGCAAGGCTGGCCCTTCCTTGTAAGGCTTGTAAGGACCGGGGAAAATAATGGTCCCCAAATGTAAGATGGAGACTGCTGTGGGCTCGGGTTACCGTGTGGTCACCGGCCTGAGCCTGGTGCTGCTGCTGTTGCTGTCCCTGCGGACGCGGGTGGGGCTATGTGGAGGAGCAGGCTCTTCGCTGGTTCCTCCGGTGGGAGTGAGACAAAGCCGGCCACAGCCCGTTCACTACGCGCCTCCAGCTACCCATGGGAAGTTCCCTAAAGGCGTTAGACTTAAAGATTACCTTTCTTGATCCCAAAGAGATGAAGGTTTGTGTATGAGTGGTCAATAAAGCAGTCTCCTCCTACCCACTGCCCATCCCTGGGAGGAGAAGAACGCTGAGAATAGCAACACTCGAGAAGAAGGATGGCCTTGGATGACAGCCAGCTTTGAGTTGTGTGTGTGAATCTAGACGTACTCCTTCCCCCGAGCTCAGTTTTCAGGTCCAAAAAATGGATGTAATGAATATCAGTGCCTAGGTGAACAGGTAAATAAAGCACCTAACAGTCCAGAAGCACAGTGAAACTATAAAACAAACAGACAAAGCAGCACAGCAAAACTTTAAATAAATAATAAAAACCCAAACTGGTCGCCATCAACTTTATTAGGACTCATGGCGACCCCATCTGTTACAGAGTAGAACTGTCCCATAGGGTTTTCAAAGAAATGACTCCAAGAAAAGTAGGTGAATAGAGGAAAACTTGAGGCTGTTCTCTTGCCTTAAATATGTATATCAGACATTCATTCTTTTTTTTTTATTAGGATTTGGGTGAAGATTTACAGAGTAAATTCACTTTTCATACAGCAGTTCACATATACTTTGTCTCATGTCATTGACCAAAATTTACAATGCAGCAGCTCCCCTCCCACTTCCTCCCCATAGTTACCTCCTCCCAGTGTCCATCCCTTCATACTCTTCGAGAGGCCCATTGTCTGCCAACCCTGTATATGATCTTGGATACACTCTCCATTTAGACATACATAATTGTTTAGCTTGTTCACCCATCTATCTGTCCCTATACCCATGTTTGCTTTCATTGACAACTCAGTATTGTATTTACAAAGGGGTTCATATTTGTTGTTTGTACTGCCCATGTAACTCTCTCTGTCTTTCTCATCCTCAATGCTGCCATATTGGTCACTCACATTTGGTACATTGCCCTTCTCTTCACCCAAATCAATATTTATCTCTATCTATCTAACAGCATTCCCTCCCCTTCCCTCCCACCCCTGGTAACCAACAAAGAAAATGTCCTCCAATATATAAACCTTTCCTTAACTTTCACAATAACGGACTAATACAATATTTGTCCTTTTGTGACTGACTTATTTCGCTCAGCATAATGTCCTCCAAGTTCATCCACGTTATGCGGTGTTTTGCAGATTCTACATTATTCTTTAGCGTTGCATAGTATTCCATTGTGTGAATGTACCAAAGTTTGGTTATCCATTCCTCAGTTGTTGGACATCTAGGTTGTTTCCAAGTTTTGGCTATTGTAAATAGTGCTGCGATGAACATCGGCGTGCATATATCTGTTCTTGTTATGGCTCTCACTTCTTTAGGGTATATACCTAGTAATGGGATGGCTGGGTCAAATGGTATTTGTATTTCCAACTTTTGAAGGAATCGCCATACTGCTTTCCACAATGGTTGTACCATTTTACAGTCCCACCAGCAGTGTATGAGAGTCCCAATCTCTCCACAACCTCGCCAGCATTTGTTATTTTCTGTCTTCAGACATTCATTCTTAAACATCGTTTGTATTAGGTCTTTTTTACTTCCTTAGTGATAACGCCTTGGAAACCCAAGGAGGGGTCGCTATGAGTTGGATCCGACTCAATGGCATATAACAACACCACCATGCCCTGAGCAGTGAGTAAAATGTTTTAAAGTGTTCATTTGCTCAGAAATGGAACAGTTAAGAAGACAGAAAATGGATGAGGAAATAATTCCTTGGATAGACTGGAACATTCTCAAAGTTTCTGGAGGCTGTAATGGACAAAATGCCTTCCATGAATCTCTTCTCAGCCCTCTCCTTGAACCTTCCCAGGCCAGGTTTGTGAAGCTTTTACTTCTCTCTAGTTAAGGAACCCAAGGAACTCTGGTGGTGCAGTGGGTAAGGCATTTGACTGCTAACCAGAAGGTTAGTGGTTCAAACCCACCAGCTGCTTCGTGGGAGGAAGATAAGGCAATCTACTTCTGTAAAGATTTACAGCCTTGGAAACCCAATGGGTGTTACTGTGAGTCACAGTTGGTTGGATGGCAGTGGGTTTGTAGTTTAGGAACTCAGAATGATGCAAGTGGCCTATCCCTGTTCTGTTCTTTTTTCCAGGAAAATCTGTTAAGCTTTCAAAGATTAGAGATGAGTGGAGTCCTTGTTACTTGATTTGTTAACAGTAAGAATTAATATCTACATGTAGTTGTTATGTGCCATCGAGTTGGACCCGACTCATAGTGACCCCTCTTTAGGTTTCTAAGGTGGTATCGCTATGGAAGTAGGTTGGCCATCCTTCCTTCCGAGGAGTGGCTGGCAGGTTTGAAGTTGCTGGTGGGTTTGAAAATAGTTACATAGCATTTCTCATTTTGCAAAGTGTTTTCACTTCATTCATTCATTCAGCAAACATGTAGTGAGAGCTTACTCCAGGCCAGGCCAGGGTTTTCTAGAATACAAGTAGGGTCTTTGCCCTTGTCCTCCTCGGGCCATTTTATCCATCAAAGAGGCAGTGTGGTATACTAGTTAGGAGCACAGGCTCTGGGTACCCCAGCTGCCCATTCTAACTGTATTTTGGGGAAGTTATTTAACTTCTCTACTCCATGGCTTCCACAACTTTAAAATGGCAATGAAAGATAATACTAGTACCTCCCCACAGGGTTGTTTGAGAACAGTGCTAAGTTTGTACTAATTACTCTAAATAAATAAATAAAGTAACTCACGTTACTGTAATTATCTCTGTAAATGTCTATCTAGTAACTCAGACCAAAAATATAGGAAATGCTCTTGACTTTACTCTTTACCACTTAGATCCAATTCAGAATTCTGCCAGTGTTACCTACAAATTATATCCTATATCTATCTATTTATCTTCACCCCTGTGCTGTCAGACTAGTCTAAGCCACCAGCACTTTCCATCTTACTGCCTAACTTGTCTCCTTGCTTGTAATCTCTTCTACCCTCACCTCCTGCCACCTTAAGCCCATCTCTACACAGCAGTCACTCTGAATCTGTTTAAAATTTAATCAAGGTCATGTCACCACCATGTCCCACCTTATCTGAACTGACTTCCTATTATTCTTACAATAAAACCTGAACCCTTGCCCTAGCCTCAAGCCCTCCACATGAGCTGCCTCCTGCCACCTCTCTAGCTTCATCTTGGAACTTTCTTCCTGCTACACTGATCTTTCTGGTTCTCAGTCATGCCAAGCTCATTCCCACCTTAGGGCTTTTGCACTTGCTGTTCCCTCTACCTGGAACACTTCCCACAGTTCTTCACATGGTCAGTCAGGCCTGGGACAAATCTTCCTGATCACACACTCCCTCACTACCCCGCCCCCCTTTTTTATCCTTTTCATAGCACTCATTAGTACTTGTTCCCGGTTGGTTTCTACCTCCCACTAGACTATAAGCTCCATGAGAACAGGGACCTTCATCTGTCTCATTTATCACTGCATCCCAATGCCTAGAACAGTATAGGAATGTGATAGTGCTCAAAACACGTTTGTAAGAATGAGTGGATTACAATGTAGAAGACAGATGTTAAATTTCAGAAATAATAGCTGCGAAGGAGAATAATATAACTTGCTTATGGGCAACTTACTGTTTATCAGATACTGTTCTGAGCATTTTGCACATCTAAATTCATTTAATCTTAGCAATAATCTCACCAGGAATCCTGTATAATTATCCCCATTGTACAGATGAGGA